CTTATTCACAAAATGAGGTTGCATAACAAGGCGCCCTACTTTTCGGTGTCACATACTTTTCCATGATGTTTTTCTGACGCTTCTTGCTTGTACGTGCAATCTTTCAAATGCTTCTCCAAATGTTGCTTATATTTTGAAAATTCTTTTTCTGCTATACGAGACTTCGTCTCTTAAAGACTGACTTTTTCTGATTTTTGCACTGAGAAATGCAGGTTGGCAAAGAGCAACATTTTCGATATTTGCTAGTGTTGCTTTTCAACATGGCCAAAAAAAGCGAACAAAAGCACGTTCGCATTCTTTTATTTTGTTCGTAGAGAAGATGACGTCCTGCAATGTCAAGGATTAGTTTACTTAAATTCGTTTATGGCTCATAAGCACTGCTTGGACGGATACGTCTTCCAAGTTCGAAAAGAAGTATTTTAAGGAGGAGCCTTTGTATTCTTAAAATCTTGTTGCAAAGGGAAGCCATCCACTCCGACCAATTTGCTGTGAGCAGGGTCTAAGCTTGGACAACAAAGATTTTCTCTAAAACTGACTGAAAGTTGCTTGAAAAAAGGCTTCAACGTGGTTTTATAGTATCGACAAGATTTTTGATGGAGGGGGAGAAACTTCTGAAGTATGGCACACAGCAATCAATTTACTGCTATTATCCCATACAAGTCTGCGAATAAACTTCACAAAGTCACAGAAATTTATGAAAACGTAATTGTCGAAAATGAAAGCGATTGACTTGAAGTACTATGAAGCGATTTTCCAGCGCAAGGCAAGAGCTTTTGGAGCCTATGCAACTTTGGGCAAATTTTTGAAAGCGCGGAGTCGCCGTATCAAGAAAAGTTGTGCAAAATTATGTTGCTAATTGTACCAATAGCCCGGCGTGAAAGCAGCATATGGTACTAGGTTTGATTGACTGTGAAAATTGAAACACTCCAAAGGGATAAATATAGTTGGTACATACCAGTTGCCGTCGTAGTAATTTTTGAAGAAGTGGAGAAAGATCGGCCTTAATGGGCATGACACAATGGATTCAACCACCCTTTGGCCAACTATAATTTTC